GCACTTAGCGTACCTCCTCTTGGACAGCTCCCAGGCAAACTCCTGCTGTTAGCCTCTGCTGTTCGCCCACCGCACTCTTCTATTCTGTCAATAACAGTACTTTTAGTATTAGTACTGTTCCTTTTCAATTATTCCAAGCATGTGTCATATCCTTGAATCCACTCCCTAGCTTTCCTTTAGTCCTACATCATATTCAGACTTCTTGTCCTCCAAGAACATTCATAATCTTGTTTTGTGCGTGTGTGTCCGAGTTTGTCTTATGGCATAGCATTTTAATATGTTCCTATCAGATCAGTGGTCCATCTAGCCCAGTATGCTGTCCCAGATAGTAGCCAATATCCGATGCTTCAGAGCAAGGTGCTGGCATTCCTGTAATGGACAATTGTCCAGTAACCTGCCCATAGGGAAACTTCTTTCTAACATCCCATGGGTAAATAGTTGCTTTGAGCCCCCCAAGTGTTAGGGATTATATCCCTTCCAAAATATACTCTATATCAGTGGTTCCCTACTTTTTTGTGGTCAGTAGCACATTCATGTTTTCAGAAGAGTGTGGCAGGCGCCAACAATTTTTCAAGGCTTATTTTGTATTTGTACATTAAATGATACAAAAAACATATTTAATATTACATAATATATGAATCCAGAGAGAAGCTGCGAGGACAGAGAACACTGGCACCCGCATCCCCGGAGTACTCTGTCCCCAGCAGGTGCAGGGCCCCGGCTTCTCTCCCCCACTGGGCCCTAGGTGGGCCCCGCGCCTGCCAGGGACCGAGAACACTGGTGCCCGCAGCCCCGGAGTTCTCTGTCCCCGGCAGGCGCGGGATCGCAGTTTTTCTCTCCTGCTGGGCACTAGGTGGGCCCTGTGCCCGCAGGGAGCAGAGAACACCGCGCCCGCAGCCTGAGTTCTCTGTCCCCGTCAGGCGCGGGGCCGCGGCTTCTCTCCCCTGCTGGACACTAGGCGGGTGCACATAAATGCCCCAGCGGGCACCGCGTTGGGGACCACTGCTCTATATAATATAGCTGTGGATGTAAGAAAGCTGGGTTCAAGAAATTGAGTCTTGAATGATAAAAAGGCTCTCCTTTATAAAAGGAAGTTGAAATTAGCAGCAGGATGGGAAGGTCCCTGTGAAGTTGAATGAAAAATGCTACAATTAACTTGCAGCTTATTTTCCCTTTCTCCCACTAACACAGGTGGTGGCAGAGGCAAAGACATGTCTAATATCACAGGTCACCGAGGAAAAGACATTTCCACCATCCTAGAGGAAGAAAGGAAAGAAAATAAGCGGCCACAAAGGGCCGCTGCAGCACGTCGCAAGAAACGACGGCGACTGAACGACCTCGATAGTGATAGTAACCTGGATGAGGAAGAGAGTGAGGATGAGTTCAGGATCAGCGATGGGTAGGTAGCTGTTAAACTACTAGTCTTGGCTTATTAACCACTACAGGTTTCTGTGAACTTACGATGCCACTGGGTTGTCTCTTTGTGGTTTGAAGCTGTAAGAGTGGGTTTTCTGTTAAGTCAGGTCTAGACTTAAAATTTTTATTAGTCTAACTCTTTCAGTTAGGGGTACGTGGGTTATTTATTTATTTATTTATTTATAACACAACAAAAGTAGTTACATTAGTGAAAGCCCTAGTGTGGACACATTTATATTGGTATGAAGGTGACTTATACCCATATAGTTGTGTTTCTTACTGTATGGGAATTGCAGTGCCAGTATAAGGCATCTTTCTGTTCTATCAATATAGAAAATCTAGTCACAACTCTCTAGTGTAGACAAGACCTCATAGATATCTTAGAATTATGAAGTACTGATAGACTGTAAGCTACCAGAGATGAAGCTTTAAGAAAGCTATAGAAATCAACTTTTGATTTTTAGCATACTACAGATTTGAGGTTCAGAAGCCAGCAGAACTAGATGCGGAGATCAGGAAAAGGTAGCGTTTACCCTCTCAAGAACATGAAACCTAAAATGTTAAATACATATTAAGCAGTCTGATTAAAAATCCCTTCCCCTTCTGAATTGCTCAACTTTCACTTTCTTGGGATGCTGCCATTTCATTAGTTCTCCAGTCATCAGAATCCTCCAGAGCAGACAGACCTGAATTTCTAATGTTAAATATCCTTTCAGTCCTTTTTATGCTTTCTAAAGACACACACAATGGTACAAGACCTCTTTTTTCCCCTCTTTGCTGAGAGTCCTTAAGGCTGATACTCTGTTCATTACCCCTCTTGTTGTGTTTTGGAACTATCTCTGTTTAAATCTCTTCAGCTCCATTCTCCACATGTGATTGTGTTGAAGGCTTTTCAGTAGTTGAGCAAGATGTGCTGGAACTTTCCTAATTAGTGAATTCAGCCTGCAAAAATCTCACTGAATTAGCACTTCATTCATCTGTCACATTGAGTCCACGTATTTTCAACAATAATCTCTACTAATTACCTGTTGGATGTTAGATTAGAGTTTGCATTCAGATATGGGAGTTGGATGCCTATTACTGTTGCATAAGAACCTTTTTTTTCAGGTAGGCTGCTTAACTGTTATAAAAACTCAGCCAATTTATATATGACGGTAGTACTGAAAGACCAGTAATATAAATCAATGAATTAGAAGTTTATCCATAAGTGCATCAGCTTCATGGATATGATTCTTTCAGCTCTCACAAGTGAATAGATTTGTATTTGGTCAGTGCTTGAATGAGAGATCTCAAGGGAACACCTACTGTAGGTGAAACATGAAACTGTTTCACAGATGGTGTTCTGCCTGAACTATTACTGAACCAGTATGACAGAAGGCACTGTAGGTGTGAGGGTGCCATATTTCATACAAGACACACAAACTGAAGTCCTGACCATTTGTGGGTACTTAAGGAATGTCTCATAAGAATAGTGGTGTTTATCCTGAAGTCCTGGGCCAATTAGAATTCAGCTTAAATAAAGCCACCTGCAGTTTCAATTGGATACAGCATTTGAATTCACTTACTGTCCTAATCTACTGTGTAATGTTATATTCTGTAAAGGCACCTTCAGGTATGCAGCAGGTGTTTAATTTCAGTGTTGGGTATGTTGATCTCAGCATAAAGATTTGGTGCCTCACATTAGTTTTGAGAATATTCATTCATTTTTGTGAAATGCTCTTAGGCGCTCCAGACAAAAAAAGATGTAGATGTTATTGAAATAATACATTTCTATATTTATTATAAGCTATATTAAATATATCTAACTCTTATATGTTACAGTATTTTAGTCCATTTGTTTCAAGTATCTCTCTTTTGGCTGTAACTTTTTTTTATTTAAACAGATCTCAGGACGAGTTTGTTGTATCAGAGGAAAACCCAGATGAAAGTGAAGATGATCAGCTGTCAAACGAAGACAGCGATACAGAATTCTGTGCCCGTAGACCCAGGCGACACCACTCCAGGCCAATGAGACAAAGCAGGCGGTTACGAAGAAAAACAGTCAAGAAAAAATATTCAGAGGATGATGAAGAGGAAGACTCTGAGGACAATTTAAGTAGGGAGTCTGGTAAGCTTAACTTTTTCAGAATTAGCTGTTGTGTGTCAGAGAAGAGGGCCCAAGCAAAAGGACAGGGGGTTTACAAACTCCTGAGTTCTAATCTTGGCCTGGACGTTGACTTGGCTATATGAATTCAGTCAAGTCATATGTCATCTATGCTTCTAAGGTTCTAGCTGTAAAAATAGGGCTAATGCTTTTGTAATAGAGGTGTTGTGATAGTTAATTGGATGTCTCTGTGAGTTACTTTGAAAATGAAAAGTGCCATGCGAGTACTGTTTTTTTTAATAATTGTGTTCCCTATTTAAGGTTTTCACTTGGTCTGAATGTTCTGTTCAAAATACACAAAAGGAAATTAGTGTTGAGTGCTAGGTTCTTTGGGTCACATTCATTTTTAAATGTGTGTTTAATTTATGAGGGCAAAACAGGCAATTGTATGCAGAATTTGCAGATTCCTAATGTTTCATTTCCAGTTGCATCTCTATTTGCGTATTTTGTGTGTGCACAATATTTTTTTAAACTTAGCAGGAAAAGTAGTTCAAGGAACTATTTAATTGTGTCTACTCAGAGATCTGCTGATGCCTCATGGAAAACTTTGAAAAGCCTATTGCTTAGAGAAACTCAATCCCTGACTTTTAGTAGGGAAGAATAATTTCCTCAACTGCAGGAATTCTTGTACTATGATCTATGTTAGACAAGAGGACAAAGTTAAATTACAATAGTGATCCCTTAAGACTTTATAATCTATGAATCTATGGTTTTGATATTTCTCTCTTTTGAACTTTAATTACTAGGGACACTTGCATGACAACAGTATCTTTGTTCCTTGCCTTATACTGCCTGTTCCCCAATCAAAATCCATCCTCTGTCTGAAATACAATTGACTGTATGAAAATGATTCCTACTCAGAGGAATAAGCAATGGAAGCAGATGAACTAAGGGGAGAAGATATTTTTTTCTTACGTGTATTTGTCCTTACTAATCAAGAAGAAATAAATCAGAAAATAAGTAAATTTTGTCTCTTAATAATATATTCTCATAGCATTCCATGAGGAGTTAGCACTTTTTAGGAAGAGCTTTCTTGGGAGCATCACTTACTTTGTAGGACTGGGCCCAAAACTACCTAATGCCATTGGGAGTTGAAGGCACCCAGCACCTTGCAGGATTAGTTCATTGAATTTCCACTCTTGTATCCATCTTTCTGAAGTCAGCTGAGCTGCAGACTGAAATGGGTTATCATGGAAGGGCTGGTCTCCAGTGTGAGGTTTTTATGTATGGGCAAATTATAAGAAAGGTGTATGAGCTTAAAATAATGGTTCTGTAAGCTGTCTTCCTTTTCTGCATGCCACTAAGAGACCAACAATGAGTGTAAGAAAGAAATGGCTAGAGTCTGAACACACACACAGATTCACAGTGGAAATGGTGGCAGTCTGTGATTAATGAAAATATGCGAGCAACTGATGCAGAAGCTAAAGGATCTGAAGTTATTACTAAGCTGCACCTTAATGCAGCTAAACACTTGGGAGCAGTTCGTATTCAGTTCCTAGTGGACATGTGTCCATCACAAAAAAATACTCCCGAATATATGCACTAATGCTCTTGTTGACAGCTGGCAGAGAGGCCAAAGGCTCAGTGTGCCTGGAGCTGAACTCCCTTCTTATCTCTGTGTAACCCCTTTGGGGTTTAGAGAGTATGGCCCTTTAAATCTTTTTCCTAAGGGGGAAGGGGAGAGTAAGAAAAAAGAAGGGAAACTCCAGGGGGCAGTGCTGGAGCCCCAAGGAGAGGCAGCCTGCAGGCCCTGGAAAAGTGAAGCAGCAGAGAACCTGCCTGAAGCCTGGGAAGGACAGGGCCGTTCGGGGACACCCCAGGACAGGAGCCAGGAGGACTTGCCTGATAAGGACAGGCCGGAGCTGCAGGTGTTGGAGCCCCTCCTAATGCCAAAATTAATTCTTCTCTTGTCCGCTTCTCATCCACCATCAGAGCTTGCAATTTCTGCGCTAAAGAATCCACCTCAAGTGACACTAGGGTGACCAGATGTCCCAATTTTATAGGGACAGTCCCGATTTTTGGGTCTTTTTCTTATATCGGCTCTTATTACCCCCTACCCCCTGTCCCGATTTTTCACACTTGCTATCTGGTCACCCTAAGTGACACAGGCACACTAGGAGGGGACTGCTCTTCCCCCAGAATTGTCCAGGGAATACCTTCTACTTGCACCTCTTTGGGCACTTTATCAAGTTCTGTTTCCTTGGAGTGAGTACATAGTGCTACCATGCCCTTCACTTTGCAGTTGTAAATAGGGGTGCGCACCTTTACACTCCCCAGTATTTCAGCTGCATCTAAGCTCTCCTCAATTTCATTTGGTTCCATCTCTTCTGGGAACCCCCCCCCACCCACCACCACCAGCACAGCTTTGGTTACTGGGATTCGTGCCCCTCGGCACAGGTCTTCTAATAATCCTCTCTCCATTATTTATTTATTTATTTTTTTTAAACTGAGATGAAAGTCACTCAGGAGTTTCTTTGCTCTGTGAAGAGGAGCCCAGGGTGCACAACGTAGGGGTGTGTGTGTGTGTGTGTGTGTATACTGCAAAGTCCCCGTACGGGCCACCAAGTGTAACTTTAGCGCCCTCGTGGCCAAGATGGGGTCTGCTCTGCAGGCAGCTCTGGCCAAGAGAAGGCGTGTGCAGGAATGCAGCAGGAGAAATCCCTTCCACCCCAGGGGTAGCTGTTCCAAACCCCCAGAGTGAACACACACACCCACAGGAAAAGTACAGTGAATATAACAAGGGAAATATTTATTTACAGAGGGATGAGAGGAGAAAAACAACAAGGGGAAATATAGGGGGAGCAGTAAGACAGGGCTGCATCCAATCCAAGGCCCCACAGGCCCAGTGGTAGCACTGTTTTGAAGGGCAGACACTGAGCAATGTGTCTGCACACAGAGTTCAGGAGTCCTGAGCAAAGTTCCAGTCCAGTGGTGAGTCTTGGGTGCTCCTGGTAGTCTTCAGCGCCAGTGAACCTTCCCCCAACAAACCCCTCCGGTGCCCTCTTCTGCTGCTCTCTGCAAAGCCACACAGAGCGACCACCTCCCTCCTTATTCCCCATGCAAAGTCACAAGCCCCAGTACTCACAGCCCCATGCCATGCAGCTCTGGGCAGCAGTGATACTGGGTCCAGCTCCAGCCTGTACTTCTCGGGCAAGTCCTCCCTGGCCCAGTGCTGCTCCTGGCTCCCGTCCTGGGGTGTCCCCGATCGGCCCTGTCCTTCCCAGGCTTCAGGCAGGTTCTCTGCTGCTTCACTTTTCTAGGGCCTGCAGGCTGCCTCTCCCTCCCACTGGAGCTCCAGCGCTGCCCCCTGGAGTTTCCCTTCTTTTTTCTTACTCTCCCCCTCCCCCTTAGGAAAAAGATTTAAAGGGCCGTGATCTCTAAACCCCAAAGGGGTTACATCTGGAAGTGATCCCTCCACGGCAGCTTGATGTTGGAGAAGCTTGCACTGCTGATGCCCAGTATTCATCTGTTTTGTGGACAAATAAAGAACCTCAGTCTTCGAGGTTTTCAGTCCTGTTTCTTTCCATAAGGCAGTGTGTATCTCTCTCTCTCCACACACACACACCCCCAACTCTCCCTCCCCGCAAAGGGTGGTGGCCTTAAGTATATGTTCCTTTCCATTACCCCCACAAGCTCTCTTTCCGGAGAGCCTGCCTCGCCTTACGTTGGGTCTAAAGAAATAACAAACATGGAGGGTTGCTTTATTTTTTTTTTTCTTCTCCAGATTTCTGAGGTTTCTCATTGAGCTCTCTTGTTGACTTGCTCTCACCTTTTCCTTAATGTTTTAGTCTGTTTTAGTCTAAGTCATTTCAGTTAATAACACGATAGGGCAGCTCGTGATGCGAATGAAAAGGCAGCATTAACACTGTGGAGTAATGTTTTTGACATGGTTTAAAGAAAAAGTAGCTAAACATGATCCAGCTACCACAGTTATTTTCAGCTGTTGGAAAAAGTGGCTGACAAGCTAGACCAGTGGTCCCCAACCTTTTCCGTGGGGCGGGCGCCAGACGACTACCCGCCGAGGACCGTGGTCGCCAGACAAGCAGCCACCGAAATGCCGCCGTGAAGCAGCAACGTCAAGAGGCGTCGCCGCTGAAATTCGTGAAGCAGCGTCATCAAGGGGCGTCGCCGCCAAAATTCGGCGGCATTTCCCCAGTAGCACTTCTTGACATTGCCGCTACTTGGCAGCATTTCGGCGGCTGCTTTTCTGGCGGGCGCACAGGGATACCCCGGCGGGCGCCATGGCGGGGACCCCTGAGCTAGACCCTAACAAGGTACTAATTCTGCAGAAGACGGGTGAACCGAGAACTAGGAATGACGGTGGGTCGGTTGTTATAAACGCTCTCATCTGGTACTCTGACCAAACGTGTAGCTGCAGCTTTGAAACCTATAGGACTGATCTCCTTGTTGCTGACTTGAGAACAATTAATCTGTACTTTCCTACCATCAGTAGTATAGTCAAGAGTAAACTCAGGTACACAGAGTTTAGCCACTTCTCATTTGGGGAATTGAGTTTACCCACTTCATTTTTGACCACTGCCTACAGTTCACTGTTGTTCTGTCAATATCTTTCATGCACGTTGTCTAAAAATGCTTGAATATAATAAAATTAGAGTTAAATAAAAACCAAGGGGGACAGGTATTTTCCAGTGGAGATTGAAATGAGAGTGTATCATAAATTCAGATTCAAGCAGATTGTTCCAGTTGGCAGGAACTGTAGAGGAGAAGTATGTTTCACATAAGTAGAGGTATAGAAGGATAAAAAGGATTGTATAGAAGGATAAAAGGAAACCAGAGGAGTGGTGGGAGAGGTTTGTGAGAGTAACTGGACAAATCCATAGTGGAATTTGAAAACAGATCGCAATTTCAAGCTGGAAATAAATGGGAAATCAGTGGAGTAGTATGAGACTGGACCTGGACAAGATAACAACCTTCCCGTTAGAGGCGTAATGATTGAGGGTTTCCTGTGACTGAAGAGTGGTTGATTTTGTTTGCTCAAGGTTGCACTTTGTTCAAACAAACATACCTTTTGAAAATGTGCCAGTGGGTCTGTGCATTTTCATTTTAACAGAATAAAGCATATGGCTGTTTTCTTCTTTGCAGAAAGTGGTGATTACACAGATTACAGTGATGATGATTACCTGGAAACTAGGCGGAGAAGATCAAGGCGGAATCAGAAGAGACAAGTTAACTATAAGGAGGATTCAGAAAGCGATGGCTCACAGAAAAGTGTTCGATACGGAAAGGAGCTAAGACGACTTCATAAACGCAGGCTTCCCAGTTCAGACAGTGAAGGTAAAACAAGCACTCCACCATTTGCAGGAGCTGATGTGTGAGTGATAGTGCAAAGGGAGAAATACGGGGCATAAAGTAAACACAAGATTTGCATTTAGTGTGAGATACACAGAGAATTCTTTCCTGAGATCCTTGATATTTCCTAAAATCTAAATGTATCCTTGTGATGCAACCTATCAATTTCTATAACAAGGCATTACTACTGCTATTTGTCAAATTCCCTCCTTTCCCTTATCTTGACTTCCTGGTGTGAAATTACTTCACCTGGCAGGGAAATGTTGGGATTTCAAAGGAGGAAATGCAGTTATTGTGGAGGACAGGATTATTTGTTATGCTTCAGTTGTGGTCATTAAAGATCCCACAGCACTTTTGTAAGAGTAAGGGTGTTAACTCTGGTGTCCTGGTTGTATCCAAATTGGGTCATTTTGTTCTGTCCCCCTAAATATGCACTTGTCTTTATTAAATTTTATCTGGTTGATTTCAGAGTAATTCTCTAATTTGTCAAGGTTGTTTCAAATTTTAATCCTGTCCTCCAAAGTGCTTGCAACCCCTCCTAGCTTGATGTCTTTCGCAAATTTAATAAACATGCTCTCAATTTAATTATTGCAGACATTAATGAAAATATTGAATAATACCAGACCCAGGACTGACCCGTGGGACCCCATTAGGTACATCCTCCCAGTTTGACAGTAAACCATTGATAACTACACATAGAGTCTTTCACCCACTTTTATAATGATTTCATCTAGACCACATTTCTTTCATTTGCTTATGAGAATGTCATGTGGGACTGTGGGACAAAAGCCTTTCTAAAATCAAGATTATACCATGTTTTCTGCTTCCCTGTATCCATTAGGCCAGTAACCCTACCAATGAAGGAAATTAGGTTTGTTTGGCAAGATTGGTTCTTTGAGTGCATGCTCATGTTGATTCCAGTTAAGTGTATGCGCACCACGTGCACAGTAGCCAGGTTTTTCCCCTAGTGGTACCCATCGGGTCAGCTCAGGCACCCCCTGGAGTCGTGCCTCCATGGTGCCATATATAGGGCCCCGCCGCCAGTTCAGTTCCTTCTTACCACCTGTGACGGTTAGCCGGAATGCTCATTTGCTCTTGCTTTGGCAAGCCTTCTCCCTAGTAGTCCTCAGACTGTCTTTCTGGGAATAGTTAAACCAGTTAGCTAGTAGCTGTAGTTAATCAGTCATTATATAGCTAGATTCCAGTAGGGAGCGACCCCCACACTTCCTGCTTGAAGTGCCTGGGGGAATCGCATCAGAAGGACCATTGCAAGATCTGTAGAGGATTTCACTCAAGGACTCAAAAAGAAAGAGACCAAAGGTTGAAGATCCTTCTGATGGAGGCTGCCCTCCATCCCCACTCAGAGGAGACTTCGGCCGAACTGATACCTAGCACCTCAACATTGGTGCGCAGTGCTCTGGCGTCAATACGGGAAACTTTGGTACCGAAAAAGGACTTGGATAAAAACACTCAGCACCAACGGAGCTCACTGCACAGGGGATCCACGCATGGCAGTGTGTTGCACCATTCCCAATCCCCGGGGCTCCTCAAGAAAAAGAAGCTGTACAGGGGTTGCTCACCTACACCGAGGCCGGGACAGAAGGACCCGCATTGGGCCATGTAAGCGCGGCACTACCTAGCCCAGCGCCGTTGACTCCTGCCCCAACAAAGGGTCAATTGAGTCCGGCTCCCCAGGACTCCCCTTCCCGGGAGAGTTGCGGAGAGGCTTTGCAGCGGCCCTCCATGCCAGAGACCTTCAAGGCGGCAAGAGAGCTCATCACCTTCATGGCACTGCCTTCCCTGCCCAGGCAAGACAGGGCACCAAGCTCAAGGGCAGTGGCACCCGCAAGACTCTGTGTGGTCCCAAGGCAAGCCAGCAATGGTACCTCATCAGTCACCATCACCCGGTGCCTGGTACCTTCTGGCAGGAGACCAGTAGGGGAACTGCAATGGTCACCAATCTCCCAGCACTGCTCCACGGCACCGGTGGGCACTGTTCTCCCATGGTCCTCCCAAAGTGAGTCCTTCCAATCAGATTGAGAGGTGGAATCCTTTGTGTCCAGGTGGAGCCAGCACAGATCGGAGTGCAGACACTCGAGGTTGGACAGGGAGAGACAGCAATTTCCCCCGATGCCATGGCCTGTGCAATGGCAGTCTCCAACCCAATGGCCATTTTGGATCCCCTGGGCGTTTCATCAAAGCAAGGGATCCTATTCCAGGAGGTCAGTGTTGGTGGCTTCAGAAACCCATGCACCTCCCCCATCTCCCTTGGTGCAGGACCAGCCGCCCCACACCGTACTGGTCACCGCACAGTCCAGGAGCAAGAGCCGGTCCCAGGTAAAATCTCATCTTTGTCATCACCAGACGAGGCAGTGGCTGGTACCTCCACGGCTCCTGCACTCGAGGACAGTAGGGTCCACCATCAGCTCCTGAAAAGTGACCCAGAACCTGGGGCTCTAGATTGAGGAGGTCTCTGAGTCATTGGACCCCATGGTCCATCTTGACCCCCTGAGGACCCTCCCAAGTTGCCCTGCTGCTCATTAAAATCATACAAGATACCACCAAAATGCTGCAGCAAACCCCCGCCTCCCTGCCTCTGGTGGCGAAAAGGACAGAGAGGAAGTATTTTTTTCCCTCTAAAGGGTTTGAACACTTTTATTCACACTTCCCACCGGACTCCTCAGTGGTGACAGTGGCAAAAGAATGAGAACGGCAAGGGCACCAAGGTCCCATCACCTAAAACCCGAGATGTGAAGAAGCTGGACCTCTTTGGGAGGAAAGTCTATTCTACCGGGGGGCTCCAGCTTCAGATGTCAAACCACCAGGTGATCCTTAGCAGATATAGCTTCAATTCCTGCAGGGCTATGTCAGAATTCACTGAGCTTCTGCCAGAAGAATTGAGGGCAGAGTTTTCCACCTTGGTGGAGGAGGGCAAACTTGTGGCACGGGCTTCGCTACAGGCAGCCCTGGATGTTGCCAATTCAGACACTTGGACCATAGCTTCAGTGGTGGCCATCAGGAGGAGCTCCTGGTTGCAGGCATCAGAGCTCCTGTATGAGGTCCAACAGACCATCCAGGACCTCCTGTTTGAGGGCTCGACTAGGGTGACCAGATAGCAAGTGTGAAAAATCAGGACTGGCTGGGGGGTAATAATTTAAAAAAAAAAAAAAGCCCCAAATATCAGGACTGTCCTTATAAAATCGGGACATCTGGTCACCCTAGGCTCGACCCTCTTCGCCGAGAAAACGGACTCACAGCTTCATAGCCTTAAGGACTCAGAGCCACTCTCAAGTCCCTGGGCCTCCATACTCCATCTACACAGTGGAGTCATTTTAAGCCCCATCCCCTGCCTTGATTCTACCAACAGGCAGGACTATTCTAGGAGGCGTAATAGAAACAACAGGAGGAAGCCGCCTCCTCCTTCATCAGCACTGGGCAGGTGAAACAGTCCTCCGGTTAAAAACAAGCCTTTTGAAGGTGCGCCCGAGGGCGATGCACCAGTTCAAACACCGGATCCAACTATCCCATCCTTTGTGTGCCAACTGTCTCACTTCTACCATGCTTGGGCCCGGATCACGTCAAATTGCTGGTGCTCCTGGGGGAATTCTGCGCCCTGCAGAGGGGCGCAGAATTCGTACCTTCTGCAGATTTCTTTGCTCCCCCATTTTTCTGCAGGGGAGCAAAGAAATCTGTGGGGAGAACACATGCCCTTTCCGCAGCAGCCCAGACGCGTTTGCTGGGAGCAACCAGCAGCAGAGAGCAGATCACCACAGCGGGGAGGGGAGGGGAAGGAGGGAGGTTGGGCAAGGAGGTGGGGCTGGGTGCCTGCCTGCATGGGAACACTCACTCTGTCCCTCTCGTTGCTGTTGCTGCATCCCAGGCTTGCAGGCATAGGGCTGTGTAAAGCAGGCTCTGTCCCTGAGGCAGAGCAGAAATGTAACAACTAAACAGGCAGGCTGCTAATGTTCCCATTGCTAGTTAATTGTTCCCATTCTTAGTCAATTAAGTCTCCTTTACTTTGCCAGATGGGGTAAAGGAGCCTTGTTGTAAATGACAGTAACAGAATCCTCAGCTAATAAGGTCTGTCTCCTTTCTCACTTTTTTTCCTGTGCCAGAGGGGCACAATGGGGTTAGATTACAGCTCAGGATCTATTTTACTTATCCATTTAAAAAAATGCATGACAATGATTAGCAAACTGGATGGTTTTCTTGTGTGAAAGTCTGAGCGATTTAAAGCATCATTCTACTTTACAGAACACCAAACAACAAAATAAAAGTAATGTAATTTACATGAAAATCCAGGATTATAACTGGAATGCAGAGTCTTGGTTACCAAGTATTTGTAATTTAATTTTCATGTCTTTAGGACATGCTGCATAGTTAGTGTGATTTTTTTTTTCTGTATGGTAGTTTAAATAAATTACCAAAATAATTGAAACTGGTGTGATTATATTGCATTATTTTGACAAATAAAATTTGCAGAATTTTGGATTTTTTGGCGCAGAATTCTCCCAGGAGTAGCACGGTAGAACTGGGATATTCTCTCCAGTTCAGCTCCCGGTCCTTACCTTCGGCCTGTCAGTGGCACCTTGGGTGTTCACCAAATGCATGGCAGTCATGGCCACTTTCTTGCGGAAGTGCCAGGTGCAGGCGTTTCCATACTTCGACAACTGGCTGATCAAGGGCTGCTCCAAAACACAAGTGGAAGCACACGTAAGCCTGATAAGAGCAACGTTCGGTGACCTTGGCCTTCTACTGAATGTGCAGAATTCAACCCTGTCCCCTGTTCAGAGGATAGAATTCATAGGGGCAGTGTTGGACTCAAGACAGGCGAGAGCATTTCTACTAGAGTCATGGTTTCACACCCTTTGCAACATCATACAAGATCTCAGGCAATTCCTTACCACTACGGCAAGGAATTGCCTGAAGCTCCTCAGCCACATGGCTGCCTGTACTTATGTAGTGCAGCATGCCAGAGTGAGGCT